ATATATATATATAATGTTTTTCTTTCATATATTAAAGTATACAAACTAACTAATAAAATTCAACAACAGTATTTTTTTAGACGATAATAATATTTGAGATAAATAAAAACTATAAATATGAATATAAATATGAGATAAAGTCATGCGACTTAATAAAAAACGGTTCGTTCTTAAAATCCTCTCATTTATGAATCTATACCCTTATTCATAATGTAAAAATAAAAGTTGTCTAATTAATTAAGAAATCAAGTACTATATTTTTTTTTTACCTTTATATATATAATGAATGCTATGTTTTTTATTTTAATAATATTTTTTTACCGATCTTCTCACAGTACTTGTGTTGAGTTGGAGTTGATTCTAATGATCTTGTATAAAGTCCGTAAGTTGTTTTAATATAAACTTTTATGTTAAAAAATATGCATTAAAATAAAATCTTGCATATATCGTTCTAATTATGGTATCAATTTCAGATATAAGTGCTTGTAATTAAAATTTTATTAAGGATATTAAAAACTCTTTATCACAAATGCTGTATTAATTGGTGTAAAAAAAATACTATATTAATTGTTTTCTTAAAAAGAATAATATATTAAATTAGTCTTTAAAATTGTGACATCAACCCTTGGAATTACTAAATATAGGTCATTCTAGTCTTGTTATTTTAATTTCATGACTAAATTGTATTTTTAGTTTCTCTATTTTTATTAATTCATAATTTTAATTTTTTATTTTAAACTAAGGATTTTTAGTCCCTCTAATTTTAGAAATATGAAATTCTAATCCTTCATCAATTTGACATTACTAATATTTAAGTTTTAATGTTTACTCATACTTAAATCATGTAATATTTAGTAATATGACATTTAGAAATCAAAAAAAAAACTAAAAAAATGTAAATAAGATTTTTATTAATAATGCAGTTAAAAATATAAATTTTTATTAATTAATAAAATAAATATCAACCACTTGTAAAAATAGATACAATTAAAGATCTTTTATGTGTTATTTTTTAATTTTTATCTTTATGTTACTAAATATCATGTCACTTAAGTTGTGACATAAACTCAAAATTTAACAATCAACAACATCAAATTAATGATAAGACCAAAATTTCATATTTTTAAAAATAAGAAACTAAATATCTCTATTTTAAAATAAAAAGATAAAATGCGTGGATGAACAACAATTAGAGACAAAAATGGAATTTAACCTAATTTCAAAAGCTAAAACGACTGTTGTTTAATAGTTTAGAAGTTAAAATTATCGCGGTTTGATAACTTCTAACCCTAACATATAATGATTTTATAATTTAAGAAATTAAAATTATTGGAGCCGTAGTTTCAAGAAATAAATTAATGTATTATTGTTATGTCTTAAGGTAAATCAGTGACATAAGCATCCCTGAAGAATTTTACATAGCCTACCAACCATTCTCACTGATCTCCATGTTCCTCGCTTTGAAATCCTTTTACATCTGAGCACCGAATAACGCAGTTATCATAATCATCAATTTCTTAGAAGAGACAACATTCTATTGCTCTCCTTAGACAAATGGGTGGGGAGCCTAAGGTATATACTTTGGAACAAGTATCTGAGCACAACAACTCCAAAGATTGCTGGCTTATTATTAATGGCAAGGTATACGTAATGTGACCAATCCATGCATGGACTCAAATTTTGTTTGTCATTCTTGAATCTGGGTTCGTGTCTTTAATTTGGTTATTTTAGAAAATTCACATATAATGCATGGTTCGATCAATTGGATCTGATCATGAGATTCACATTGTTTTCTGTGGCTTGAATGATATTATATACTAGTAGTGTATGATGAACGACTTTTCCACATATATATGTTTGATCGTTTTAGATATTTGTGACGCGTTGATTTTGTTTGGTACTATAACCTTATTTTGGAAACGGGTTAGGATTCGTATTACTTTTGTAAAGGTGCTGCCAATCTGTTATCTGCATGCAGATCACGTGGATTCCCGATTTTTTTTTTACGTTGATAATTATCTCTGGAATTCAAAATTTTCTATATCTCTATATTCTGCTAAAATTTCAATTAAGAAAATCAGCAATGGATTGGTTATGATTCATCACTGTCCTTCATAACAGCATTTTTAATAGGCTTTTTTATTTTTTGGTATTCGGTTGAAATTCATGTAGTTCGTCTTACTGGTATTAGAATTAGACTCAGATAGTTGGTGAGACTTGTATGAATTTCACCTCATAAGAAGGGTGTGAACTAAATAAAGTATTAAAAATACTCTCTTCGGCCACACCATTTTTCTTATTAAAGTTTTAAAATAAAATAACATGTTGTTAAGGAGGGAAGCCAATAATGTGTAAATTTCTTTGCTCAATTGGGAGCTAATGGACTAAAACCTTTGGTTGAGTTTCATGAACCAAACCTTTGTCGCTTGCAGATGAATCGGGAGTGTGCTTCCCTAGAAAGTAACTACTAACTAGCTTTTTGGTTGCTTATTTTTGCTGTTGTTCTGTTTTTGTTATTATGGAAGAAAAAAAATCATTTTTTTACATGATAAATGATATGATGATATGTACATGGCCCGCACAATTTATCTCGTATGACACATTTCAGAACACACTAAATTAAAATACTCAAAACTCATGTTCTGGATTGGATGGCTTTGAGTATTTTGAAATGTTGGTCCTATGCTTATAGTAGATTGTTTGTTGATAACTCCAAAACCTTCTGTAAGACTAATATTTTGTTGATTTTGTTCTTGAATATCGAAAATTTGAAATTATGAAATTGACATCTCAATCTATATCTACTTTTATCTATTCCTTTAACTCGGCTAACATATACACATTTTTTTCTGTTGTTTGTTTTTCTAAGCAGTTTAAATGTATGGTTCTGAAGGTTTATATCTATATTACTGCTACGGCAGATATGTCATAAAATTTGATTATGGTAGGAATTGATTATGTAAGTGGGTAAAATAGTAGCTGCAATTTGAATCTTTTCAACAATTTTAACGGTGCTCTTGAACTGTGTTTTGCACGTAAAACTGTTTTTCAAAACATATGAAGTTGTTCAAGGCAATGCAACATCTGATAGCCACTGTGTTCAAACACAGATATAGATTAAACTTTTAACGAGCTTTCATGTTTTGTTAGAGAACTCTTATCAGTTTCATTTTTATAAGTACCTGAATTTCTTTTCCATTTTGGAACAGGTTTATAATGTCACAAAGTTCTTAGATGACCATCCTGGTGGAGATGATGTCTTGGTGGCTTCCACAGGTATATATTATATGTTAGATATCTAGTATGGTTTTAAATTAAGGTTGCAGTCATTGTTATTGTAGACATTGCAACTAATGTAATACAGATCATGGCTGATACTACGTGAAATTATTATGTTTGTAAAAATCATAAAAATGAATCCTAAAATAATAAAAATGAATCCAACTTTTCTTTTATAATTTTCCAATCTGTCTTTCTCTTTGTCTAAAATGCATCATGCAACCAACCAGTAACCATTAATTGCTTCCCTCTCCAACATCTCAAATGACCATACCCATTTTGACATTAAAAAAAATAAAATAAAATAAAATGTTGTTGCAGTATTTCTTGTGATTGAACTTCACATCTCAATTGTGAGCTATTGCGGCCACAACAGGTGTTGCAGTCTCCAATTGAAAACCATGAATCCAGCATTCTTCTCTCTAGATATATATACTTAATTTATGCATCCATCATGGTCTCACTCTCACTCACTAGAATTACATGTTTTCAAGTGTCTTTTGATAATCCAAAATGTGTCCTGTTTGCAGGGAAAGATGCCACCGATGACTTTGAGGATGTTGGTCACAGTAACAGTGCTAGAGCCATGTTGGATGGCTTTTATGTTGGAGACATTGATCCAGCAACCGTTCCATCTACTCGGGTTCAGAACACTCTTCCAACACAACCTCAAAACACTCAGAACAAGACATCATCAAACTTCATGATCAAGATGCTCCAGTTTCTACTTCCCCTTGTTATCTTGGGTGTTGCGGTTGGTGTTCGTTTCTACAACACCAAATCAACATAGTCACTCAAACTGCTTGAGTACTTTAATTTTGTTCAACCGTTGCTTTAAATTTTAGCTTGTTTTGTTCCATCGAACTACAATTGTATGGATCAATAGGACAAACCATTTTTGTTTCCCTTGTCACTGTCATTTGATGTTGAATTTATGGTTGCCTTGCCCTGCCCTTGATAAGCTACTAGAATAGGTTTCTGTTCTTTAATTTCTGGTAGTTTTAGAATTTGAATTGTATGAGATTTTGGACACACTAATAAAATTATCTTTGGAAAGCAGATTCGATGATTTTCAATTTCTAATGAGAAATTCCGACCTATCATCATAGTAAATCACTCCAACATTTTCACTATTTTATATTTGCTAGGCAGAACTCTATCTTTTAGATTCTACACAAAACACTTTATATTTAAGGAGAAAATGATTGTAAGATTTGGAGTTTTCTAAAATTATTAAAAGAATGTTTTAATTAATTAAAGAGGTTTTATAAATTTTTTAAATAAATATAAGTGTTTTTAATTAAATAATAAAAGTGTTTGTAAAATAATTTTGTATAATATTTATTAAAAAGTATGTATTTTCTATCATAGTTATTGTAACACTCCGATTTTCACATATTATACGAAGGCTTAAAGCCCAATAAAGGTGATTTAGTAGTCCAGAACGGACCGTTCCCAAACTGGAACGGGTCGTTCCAAACTACTAAAAAGACCTATAACCCTAGTTGGGAACGGGGTGTTCTGGTTTAAGAATGGGTCGTTCCAAACATGACCTTATGTGTTCAAACGCAACCCCAGAACAGGTCATTCTAGTTTAAGAATGAGTCGTTCCAGATGTGAATTTTACACATGACGAATGAGTCCAGAACGGGCTGTTCCAGATTTGAAACGATTCGTTCTGGCCACCCTTGACATCTATAAATAGCAGACTCTAGCACTGCTTCTGGACACACTCTCTGAAGACCAAGGAGAACCAAGAGATAGAGATCAAGCAGATTCCACTCTAGCTTCATCTTTTGCTTATCCAAGTAAGGGAGAGTGAGAAACCTTGCTCTGGGTGTGATAATGTATGTTGGGTAGTGTGATTGGCTCCCAATCCTATGTTTGTTGTGTGCTCATGTATGAAGGGTTTTTTCCAATTATATCTGTTTCATCCCTGTTTCTCCCTGAATGTTCTAATTGATGTAATTAGTATGTATGTATGAGTAGTGTTTGTGTTTGGATTATAATTGCAGACTTTGGTGTTCCTATGGGAAACCCTAAGGGAATGCATTGGTGATTGTAAGAGGAGATTGTTTGAAGAGGTAATTATATAAGTAAATTATATTGTTTTAAATGTTTATTGTATGAATTAGAGTGCTTTGTGGGTTCCTGTGGGAACCCTATGAGAAACAGACAAATTTCTAAAAAAAATTGTTTTACCTTCTGAGTTTTCTATTCTATTCAGTGATGGTTGCTAAGTGTAAATATGTGTTTAATTTCGAAAATAGACAAGTTTTGATATGAATTTGAGTGCTCTGTGGAGACTATGTGAAGATGATGAGATAATGTGAAAAATGATAATGAGACATGACGATGTGATAATAATGAGACATGATGATGTGATATGATAATGAGACATAATAATGTTATATGATAATTAGACATGATAATGTGATATGAGAATGCATAGAGTCTTGATTTACATGCATCATTTGCATAAATGTTTTAAGGGTACGATATGGAATACACCGCCAGGAAAGGCCCCTTGTGTAAAAGCTTGGGGATTAGTCCTTGGGGATAGCTCGATTTGGAAGTCCCAGTCTCACCCATTGTGTGCATGGGATGTATCTTGCACAGCTTAGCTATCTCGACTAGACCTTGGTAGTATGTCTTTCTAGTATTGAGAGTGCGTAGAGGGTGTGACCCGGCATGTACTCCTAGACTACTCTCATGTATTGCTAGCAGCAATACGCCATGTGATATGTGTTACTACGCCACATGCATGATAATATGTAGTCCGTGTCCATTAGATGTGCATTTTAATGTTATATGTTAAAATGATTTTTATGTCTTATTTCTATTAAATTAGGATGTTGTTTCTATTAAATTATTTTGCAAACTTTAGCCTTATTTCTTTTGTAATTTCTGCTAATTATGTTATTTGTTTAAGTCATGGATGTGGTGCTCTCTATCTGAATACGTTTGATATTTTAAATTATGAAAGGTTATGTTCTTCAAATTTTATTATTTATGTGTTATGGTATGCAGGGTAGAGGGTGTCACAATTATAAAAATTAAATCGAAATGTCGATTAGATGATGAACCAGTCCAGAACCGATACAAATCATTCAGGAAGCCATTTTGTAGAGAATTAGTCAAAAATGGGTAGAGCATGTTCAAAATTGGTCAAAATCAATCAAACTCGTTTGAACAGGTCTAATTAAAAAAAAGTATTTTTTTAATTTTTTAAAATTTAATTTAAAATATTTTTAATTAAAATAATATTTAATAAAAAATTATAAATTAAAATACCTTATTTTTAATACTTGTATCATAAATATAATTTAATAATTTATATTAATTTATAATTTTTAATATCTTTATTTTTTATAGTTTAGCTTATATTAATTTGATACTTTTTATTCTAGATGTAAACTTGTTATTAGTGAACATTGTTATATTTTATTAAAACTTAAACTTATTATATTATATTATATAATTTAGAATTTTATGTGTATATTAATTGTAGCTCTAGAAGTTAACTTTCAAATATTATTAGAATCACTTAGAAAAGAGATCTATAACTCAAAATATGATCAATTTAGTGACCAAAAGTCAAGTTGTTAGATTTAGATTAAAGCATTACAGTTTTGTAATTTTTAAAAATAGCAGATGACATAATTAACTTTTAAAGTCAAAATTAAATAAAGCTTTCTAACAAAATTAAGATTAACTTTATAGCATATATATATAACTCTAGATAAAGGTATTTGAACTACCCTATGTCTTAGAATATTAAGTTATAAAAATATACTTTAGGAATGGTGATGATGAATAACTTTACCCTTTAATTATTTGATCTTATGAATGGTTTGAGGTACCTATATCAATGTTTAGAAAAAATAAATCATGGGAGAAAACAATTGTGAATAAGTTATGATGTAAGTTAATTTTTAACAACTAGAGGGTGTTTTAGTGATAACAATGTCTAAGGACTTAATATGTGATATTGATAACGTTGTTAAACTAGTTAAGTTATTAATTTAAATATTTAGTGATGTTAATCTCATAGGGACTATAGTTGAGGTATTAACATATGATTAGATGATTCTATAATGATTTTATATTGAGATATATTGGATGTTGTTGTGTAATTATTGTGTTTGAACTATGAACATGTGTAATCATTATATTAATTAATATTAATAACTAGTTGTGGTATATGAGTATGTTATTCATACAATTATGAGTTATGTATGAATTGATTGACCTGATCTAGCATTGATACAGTTGATGTGTATGAACCCTATGAGAGCCATATAATTATAAGTCTGAGAGAGGCTTAATCCCAATGTGGATATGAAATTAAAGGAATTGATGTACAATAGTGGATGTGTATTGTTGTAATGTGATAATGCATCGAGTCTTGTTTTACATGCATCATGTTCATACTTGTTTTGAATGAGTACGATATGGAATACACAACTAGGAAAGGTCCCCTTGTGTAAAAGTTTAGAGATCAGTCATTTGGGACAACTGGATTTGTGTGACACCTTCTACCCCACATACATAATTACAATAAATAAAGATAAATAAAATCTAAGTCTCTAACCACATAAGGATAAAGAGCTCACATTCATAAATCATAAATCATAGTTTAATGCGAAAAATAAAAAGAATAAAATCAATATCTTCTAAGCATTTTAACAAGAGTAACATTCTAAATTAATCATAACTACGCTCTGGTGTCACATGTCCTATCAAAGCACACCCCATAATGAGACTTAAACCTTATCACCAACATCCTCATACTGATGATCACCTGCAACACAATAAAAATACACATAGAGTAACAAAGGAGTGAGAAACATCTAACTTGGGTTCAAATGTAGAAATAAATGTTAGTTGACACACACAAAATCATAACAAATACCATGCAAGTTATAAATAATCAAGCACAACTCTCAAGTTACAAATACATTAGAACACATGCATATTCACTTATCATGTAATGATGTCATGAACTTGACTCATAAATGCATGCATGTGGTGCCAGCCACATATCTCATAATCACATATCACTTGGTATGTTGTCGAAGCAACATATCTGGAGTAGTCTAGGAGTACATGTTGGCTCAACTGCACACTTTCAACTAGAAAGATGTACTGCTAGGATCTCGTCAATATAACAAAGCTACACAATATACATCCCATGCATGCACACAAATGGCTATAATTGAGACTTCCAAACCGCGTTATCCCCTAGGACTCCTCCAAGATGTTTCACCTGAAGGGCCTTCCCTAACATTGTACTTCATATCGTACCTTGTCACATAGATGCACATGATGCATGTCACACATTCACATGTTCATGGACTCAACATTTCACTTGTCATATCTCATCATGTCACTTGTTCTCATATCACATTATCATACTCATAGTCATAAGGTCACATATAAGAGATTCTCATCCGCATCATGCTCATAAAAATACATCACTTGCATCAATACCATAATAAGACAGTTTTCACATCATTATGAAGTTAGCATAAAACCACATAGAATGGGGGTTGAATATGTGTGTGTGTACGAAGGAATTTTCAAATCATTTTCGCAAGAGTAATGTTCTTCGTCCAATGCACTTTTAAACATCAAACTGTTATCCAGAATTTGTTTAACATAAGGTCAATGCGTCTGAAGGGTTTATCGTCTGCTAAGGAAAATGTTTCATAATGATAATTATTGAAGTTCTTACATTTTCCTTTTCAAGATAGGTTCATTTAAGGATAAGCAGTAAATAAATCTTTCCAGTGTAATATATCTATTAAACGAACTTGCGTCTTCCTTTGAAAATTGGATTTAACTGTATGTAAATATTGGACAAAGTTTTCCAAAAATATT